CAGTATTCCTGTACACCAATCCAGAACTGCTCGAGCTTATCATGAAGCCCCATTTTGAAATCCAAGAATCTGGGCAATACCCTAATGCTTATGCGATGCATGACATTGGAAGCCATTATCCCAACGCTACTGGCCATCCTGAAGGCAATGATGAGCCAATGCCGCTGGAGGAATGTGGTAATATGATAATCATGGCTCTGGCGTACGCACTCAAGTCATCCAACACGGATTATCTTCAGGAACACTACGCCTTGTTGGAACAATGGACATCATATCTGGTCGACGAAGCTATCTACCCGGCGAATCAGATATCGACAGACGACTTTGCTGGCTCTTTGGCGTAAGTACTGACCCAAGATTGAACTGTTGACGTGCTCTAAGATCCTTCTATAGCAACCAAACCAACCTGGCTCTGAAGGGGATTATTGGTATTGAAGCCATGGCGGTCATTAGCAAGCTCACCGACCACGCTGATGCAGCTACCAATCACTCCGCTATCGCCCACGATTACATCGATCGGTGGCAAGTACTGGGTATTGCTCATGAGGCGAATCCTCCGCATACCACATTGTCTTACGGCTCAAATGATTCCCACGGTCAGTTCCGTTCCTCTTCTTCCTTTTAGCGGTATTAGTAGCTGATCAATAACAGGTCTCCTGTACAACCTTTACACCGACCGTGAGCTGGGCCTGAACCTGGTGCCCCAGTCTGTTTATGATATGCAGAGCGAGTTCTACCCCACGGTGAAGGAGAAGTACGGAGTGCCGCTGGATACCCGACACCAGTATACTAAAGGTAAATTTCTGTCCTCTCATATACCTTTTTTGCCGCCTTTATTGTGTTTCTACATGTAAGAGATTGTTTAATGATCTGACATGAGCCTTGTAGGTGATTGGGAACTGTTCGCAGCAGCGGTTGCCTCGACGAGTACAAGAGACATGTTCATTCAATTGCTTGCAAATTGGATCAATCAAACACCTACCAACCGCGCTCTTACTGACCTCTACGACACCATCAGCGGAGAGTAAGTTCTTCTTGTTGATTTCCTAATTGCGGGCGCTGCTGACATCTCAGTTATCCTGGAATCACCTTCATTGCGCGGCCTGTGATGGGCGGTGCTTTCGCCTTACTACTTCTGGAGGAGGGTCTTTGATGAGCATTGATACCCCCTGGCTCGTGCCAGTCGTTTGCCTGTCAATTCGACTGAGACACGGGCGGATTGTTCTTCTGTATGAATTTCTGAATGTCTTGGATATGTCTATCATTATACCATCTTTAGACCAAGTATATGTCGCCGAAGGCCGCTGCCTGACATTCAGCACAGCCAGGTTCATAGTGCACATATATAGCCTGTCATGCATGACTGTCGCAAGGTCGCAAATGCTACCTGATTCGCCGTTGATTCCTAGAAGCTGTTTGCAAATGAAGTAGATTCCGACTTGGTGATCACTGTCATCGCGGAAATAAGAATGCCTCATTTTCTCTCTACATGGGATGTATTCCATTTTCCTGTCGTCGTGTCGTTTAATTGGCTGACCAAATTGAATATGACACGATCCACACTTCGAATGGCATGACCAAAATATTCGGCGAGGAATGATTCAGGAGTCGTGGGAGACTTCAAGTGGGTCGGTCCACGTGTCAAAAGAACGGATCAGGTCTACATAGGTCAGTACGGATGAGCACTCTGTCGTCAGGGATATCGACATACTGTAATAGAGAACCATTGCCTCGAGGTGCACATCAATAGCTACTCGCTCGTCGACCGTATGAATGTTCAGACTACCACCCCTGCGAGACGGACTCCAGCGGTAGATGTTCCGCGACAGGGCCCAGTAGAATCTGGTGTCGGTGTTTCCAGTCATGATATCGCCGCTGACCACCACGGTCTTGCCCTGCAAACTGGGGACGGACTCGAAGGAGGTGCGCGCGACACCCGCGAACTGAGCCCAGACGGCGTCGGTGTCGATGTTGGTAGGGCTCACGGGAGCAGGGACAAGAGGCGTGCTGAGGGTCGACAAGGTGAGATGATTATCGACGGCGGGTTCATCGGCGGTGGTGGCTGTTTCTGGAAAGGCAGTCCACGACAGGTTATGCTTGTCGGCGATGGGGGTGATGATGCCGATGGCGCGCTGCTTGATGAGTTCTGGGGTTTGATGGAGGGCGATGCGGTAGTTGACGAGCGCGGAGATCTTCTCGGGCAGAGCGTTGGATTTGATGCCGCCGTTGAAGATGTCGGCTGCCTGCGAGGTTTGCAGGATGTATCGGAACGCGTCGCCGCGGGAGGATGCGAGTTTCTCGGCTAGCGCGACGTGGTCGGATGACTGGAGGCCGGAGGCGAGCCAGGGCTCGACGTGGTTCGGGGAGTAGCGAGCCTGGCATTCGAGCATCCGGCGGGAGGGGTGGTCGTCGGTCAGGACAGGGACGAAGAGGTCCTGTCGCTCGAGCTCGTAGATGATCTCGGCCATGATGCCGATCCCCGTGTGAGGGGGTGGGATGGAGCTGTGGCCGCCGGTGACGTCGAGAGAGAGCACAATGTCGATGCTGCCTTTCTCTCCTACGCCAGGGAGCGCGTAGACCACGTCATCGCCCAAGGTCTCGAGTCCCATGCCGCCCTCGTCGAGGATGAACTCGAAGCTGTCGGGGCCGTACTTTCTTTCGAGCGCAGAGGCGAGCGAGCCAGCACCGAGGAAGCCATGAGATTCCTCGTCGAACCCGAAGGCGAGAACGATGGTGCGTGTTGGCTGCCAGTTCTGCTGGAGCAGATCTTCGATGACGGACAGGAGGCCAATCAAGACGTTCTTGCAGTCGCTAGCTCCTCGGCCCCAGAGCCATTCGCCATCGAAGTGGCCGGCAAAGGGTGGGTAGGTCCAGTCAGAAGGATCATTGATCGGTACAACGTCTTGGTGAGCCATGAATAGAATCGGTTTAAGTGAGTCATCGGTGCCATTGAGGGTGTAGAGCAGGCCGAGTCTGTTGATATGATCCACACGGGCATTCGAATGACTGAGCATCTCGTTTTAGCTGCCTTCGTTTTAATCGGTCAGGAGAGAAGGCCTACATTAGAGGAAAAAGCGATTCCAAGAGCTCTTGGAACTCAACAAAGGGAGCGAATCCCTCGTCAAAGGGGTCCCTCATGTAGTCATTGACCGTGGTGGGAACCTGGACGGCTCTTGAGAGACGGTCGACCTGCTGCAGCCGAAGGTTGTCATCTTGAACATATCGAAGTGCGGAAAGCAGGCCATCCTCAGGCACTTCGACCTTGGGTGCCAAAGGGCAGATGTTGTTGGTGCCGGACCAGGACTTGAGGATCTGCTGCGGAGAAGGAACGCTGAGTGACATAGCCGAGGGTATTCCGAACCCTATGAGGGCCGGGACGACGTGGGCAATCGACCGCATTTTTCTTCAGTTTTCCAGGACCAGACTTGGGTGGAAATCGCAGAATTGCACTGGAAAGGAGAGAAACTCGAACAGCGTTGTTCAAGAGATTTATCTTATCTCTTGGTGCAAGTCCGTACTCCGCAGCTGTTATCAACGGGCCCCTTCTCCGCATGCACTTCCGTCGCTTTGCATCTTCACCATTGTGAGACGTCTATTTCATAGGCCAGTTGACAGATAATGGCGGGTCAGTCCGCTTGCCAATGGATCGCTTTGCCCGACCGGGAAGGTCGTAAGTAGTTGGTCTGCGATGATGAATCTCTAGTGAGAATGATTTGATTGAGCGATGAACCGAAATATTTAGGATGTCAACTGTCCAGGAGATTTTGACTCACCGGCATGTTTAGAAATTACCAGTTTCAACCTCATTGGCGTGGTCGCCTCATGTTAGGTATGAACGACGAGCCCCATGGCAGTATTGATTGCTGAGATTAGCTGCCAGGTCCAGGCAGAAGACAGAGATTCCTCCTTGTTAATAATGCACGGCCGAAACTTTCAGCATAAATTGGAGTAGTAATATGTATCCCTTCCAGAGTGTTTAATTGACGCATGGAGCATAATGATGGCTTGCGTATCGGTGGCTGGGAGATCTCTGCCTGCTGAGCTTACAGACCGGAGTGTTTATTTTCTGGCAAATATCGATACAAGCATTTTATCATCACGAGGCATTGAACCGATGAGCACAGATAGTTGAGAGGTGAATTGGAGGAAGATGGATGGATGACAGACGAGCATAATTTCCTTTTGTGGTCAGGATCAGGTGCAGTCTCGTGACGATGCAGTTGTTCCATCTTCATTCTTCAGCATCTCAAGGCTCTGGTCGAATAAACACGATCCGTTTCGGCAAAGAAACTGTCGAGAGCAAATCAAAGCGATTGATCTAACGATGATCTATCTCAAATCTTCCATCAGACCAAAATTTTCACGAGCGTGATAAAACCCCGGAGCTGCGGCACACAGCCCGAAAAAGAGCAAGCAACATGTCTCAGAAAACAATAGTATGTCGATCCCTGACATCACCAAGGGGAAATAGAACCACTAACTAACGAAATTCGTCGACGCTAAAATCCCCGACCACGGCAAGCAGCCATAACCCATAAGCGATGCGGTTCGAGAAAAAAAAGCGATGAAAAATGCCGCCTCGGGAGCGCAAGGGATCGCCGAAACGCCACCCCAAGGGTTTGGGAACTGTCGATCGAACCAACGAACTCTTTCAGTTTCAGGAACCTGGAGAAATAGAGGGATCCTCGGATCAGCATTCTGCTGCTGTTTCAGTGTGCTGACATTTTGCCTCGAGAAGATAACTATATCTAGTCTACGTGGAGAAAGTGAAACTCGACGCTGGCAGCCCCCCATTTTATTAAATTTGGAGATGGGTCATATTTAAACACAAGGGCATCCTGCTTTCTCTCTACTTATTGATCATTGATCAACCCACTCACTTGTTTTTCCCTACTTTGGTCTTCTGATTGACCGATTCATTCCATCGCTTCGCTTTCTCTCTTTGAATTTATCGCCCGCAAATAGTTAAGAAGCCACTCTTTCCTAAACCATCAACCGAGATGTCTCCAAAGATACTCAGTCTCGCATTCCTCTCGCTTATGACTCTTACTCCCCATGTCTTCGCAATCAAGGATTCATCGGCTTGCTACTCCAGCCCCGGAGATCTGACCCTGGGCGGCTCCTCTCAGTACATGGCCGTCGGCATGTGCGAAGACAAGTGCAAGGAGAACGCCGTCTCCGCCGTCCAGGGAACCGACTGCTACTGCGGCAGCAGTCTCCCCCCATCTTCAGCAAAGGTGTCCAACGACAAATGCAATACTGCTTGTCCGGGATATCCAGCTGACTACTGTACGTGTTCCCGACCACTATTGCTTTGCATACCAAGCAACCAAGCAGACAACTAATCTGTGCGCGAACAGGTGGCGGCTCCAGAACCTGGACAGTCATGTATGACAACCTTCTCCTCGAGGAGGACAGCGAGGATTCCATGTCGACCTCGCTGACGGTCAACCCGACACTTGTGGCCACCATCACCAAGGACAGCGCCAATCCCACCGCCACCATCCCAGCCGAGATCCTGACAGCCCCCTCGGCCACCTTCACGCAGCACCCCGGCGTTGCGCATGGCGTGTCCTCCGGCACGGCGTCCTCGTCTGTAGCCGCTGCTGCGTCAAAGTCGGCAGGCGCTTCCTCGGCCTCTACTTCCGCCTCGTCCAGCGCGCCGTCGGCTTCGCCCTCCGGTAGCGCTGCGGCCGCTGCGACTCTGAGTCGCTCGGTGGGTGCCGCTGGGTCGGTTATGGGGGCGGTGTTCATCCCATTGGTTATGTCTTGGCTCTAAGTGATAACCCGCTTTCGTTCACCACTCTACGATGCTCCGCCTCTACGAATGAACAAATATCCTGTTGCATTGTTAATATGCGAGATGGCCTTGGAATATTACTGCTTACTGTGGGGGGTGCGATGACTGGATATACGTGCTGATCTACTTGGGCCAAAACGCTAATTTGGGTACAAAATCTGAGACAGGATGCTGGTTGTGTTGAATCCTGCAAAAATCCTGCTTTTGAATCGCTGGTCGATCCGATGCTGGACGTCGTTAGCTATGATTTGCGAGGTGGTGCCCTGGGAACTCACCATCAAATGTACAGTCATTAACGACGCATTGAAAAATTAAAAACAGATGTGGCATTAAATAATATAGAGGTTTCTAACCAGTAGCCAATGGTCTAGGATTCAAGGGTATCATAGAGAAGCCAACATCACCCAGACAGAAAAAAGTAAGCCAAAACGCTAACTCAAAACAGGCGGATCACAAGGGATGGATGTAGATGGACTATCGTTTCATGAATCTGCCGATCCTCGCTAAAGCTTCGGTACCTTGACGCCTCTCTTCTCCAGCATGGCATAATCGCTAGCCTTCATAGTTACTGCTTCAAAGTTCTTGGGAAGCCGAAGTCCATCCCTGCATTGAGTGTTAGTGGAAATATCCAAGGCAAGCCTGTCTGGGTGGAAAAGGCGAGGGCGAAAAGAAAAATCAAGTGACAAACTGGGACATACCTAAGAAAAGCGATTTTGAGGTTCCGGGCCCGATCCTTCAGCTGTATTTGATCACGTCCTTCAATCTGAACCTCGCCGTCTTCCGCTGCCTGTGCGTCGTTCTGGCGCATGATCGTTGCCCATTTACAACCGTGCTCCCCAACCAACCGGATCAGCCGGGCATCTTCGGCTGGCGTCCAGCGCTGTCTGCCTTTGGACTGAGACGGTGTAAATGTTCTATTCGAACCAAAATCGCTCGTCTTGGCCCATTGTCTTGACGGTGACCGTTGAGTCTGGGGTGATGTTTCAACCCGGTGGGCGACTGCCCATTGGCCCTGCGCTTCCTCGTTTTGGGTGCTCGCTTCCAGGCCCTGCTGTAACTGTGAGGCAGACTCGTCATGGTCCTCCTCCAACCTCTGGCGCTTGCTCCGTTGCAGCTCTGCCTTTTCTTTACGCTTGCGACTGATGTCAAGAGCAGGACCGTAGCTCGAAAAGTCGTCACTGCTCACGTCTTCGTCATCGGATTCTTGACGTGCTCGCTTTCTCGAGGCGGGCGGGGGTTCACGTCTCCTGGCTGCGCTTAGGAGGTCTGCCTCCTGACTAATGGGAGAAACGCGTTCCGCATTATCCTGACGGTCAATGAAAGCCTGGCGTCTGTCTAGTCGTGCTCGTTGGACTGGCTGTCTAGGAGTCTGGGTTTCTTCCACTGCTCGCAATATGTCCTGAGTTGATGGGACAAAGGACGGTCTGCTCGGAGTACGAGGTCGATGGCCAGAGGAAGGCTCCCGATGATGCTCGCGGGCTATCCTGTTGACAACTGGAGGGCTATGCGATCTTTCCAGTTCAGCACCGACATGATCGCCGATGTTCAGCTGAGAATCATCGACACTGAGATAATGGTCCTCAGGTAGCAGAGTTGGAGAACCTTCCGAAGACGCAGCTATCTCGTCTGGCTCTTCATGTGCCCTCCGGATTGGTTGCGATGGTGCGGGGAGAGTCTGATGACGGAGACGCGAGGCGGGCGACGCGCTCTCGCCGTGCATGACTGGGGCAACAAAGTCTGACTGCCGACGGGCTTCTGAAGCCTCGCGCGAAAGGCGACGGCGCTGCTGCCTTTGCATAAGGCGCTGAATCGACACGGGATTGAGGTAGACCCTTGACAGCCGTCAGCAAGCGAGCTAAGCTCAAAAGATTATCGGGTACCAACGATTTTGAAGACTTTCGTCGCTCCCTACTTTCAGCAGTTGACACTGAGGCTCGTCGGTCTTCTTGAGGAGCGCCCCACACCCGCTCTTCAGCCCGAGGTGGAGCTAATCCTTGCTGTCCATCATCAGGAGCAGCTGTCACTGGCGCTCTTTTTTCAAGTGCGGGAGTGACACTAGGACGGGGAGTGGTAGTTGCACTATGGATGCGGTCAACAGGTTCTTGGTCAGCAAAAAACTCCGTGTGTACTGTCTGTGTGCTTTGCTGCCCTTGCAGCCCTTGGGCGATTTCCTGAATGCGCTTTCGTAACCATTGAACAGCTCGCAAGACGAATCTTTGCCAGCGGTAAGCGCTTTTTAACTCTTTAATATCAAAAGAGTCATCTCCGGTTTCTGATATCAGAACAAGAATCTCGTTATACCGGTCACAAACTGCATCTCTGAACTGCTCCGGGAAATGTCCGTCTGAGCCACGGAATCTACCGAGGTTGAGACCAAGCAGTGGAGCTTCGCTGCTGTCGAAATCATCTTCATCAAAAGCATCAACATCAAAAAAGTGTTGCCTTATAGAAGGCACGGGAAGAAAATCAAGCCTATATTGATCCTCCTCCAGTTTCAGTATCAAGGATTGTGTGCGGATTTCCAGAGCGAGATCGAAAGTGTCTTTGTGAAGAGAGCTCTCGCCAGCAGCTCTCTCATGCCTGTTCTCAGAGAGATCGTTCATGAATGGCAGCGGAAACAAGTTTTCCAAGTTTTTGATTGCTTGTCTTGCAGAGTCCGTGCCAGCATTTGCCAGAAGCACCTCAAGTGCAAAACGCGCGCAATTAGCCTGGTGAAGAATGGGATCTGCGCTCCAATCCCTTCCTACTCGGATGTTCTTCTTTTCCAGAGCCGATGTGAGTAGCTGACTGACATGCTTGACGTCAATGTACGTTTGAGGACCGAACCACTTGGCTTGAACTGCCAGGTTGGACACGGAGTGTCGGAGTCGTTTGCTCTGAGTGCTATTCGGATCCGTGAGCCTCTTAGCTGTATTGATGATGCTGACGGGATCCGCTGAGCCGGGGACGAGATAGTCTAAGACATTCTTGGCTGCTCGCTCAAGGTCTGGCAGTGTCTCCATCATCATATCTGGATCCGGATTGGTGTCCGGCTCCTCAGGCAGGAAGGTAGTACCGGAGATGTTCACTGTATCATCTAGCGACTCCGAAATCACTTGGTCGGCATAGCGATGAACAGATTTGTGAGGCGACTGGAAAGGTGGCTCTTCCACCACGACACCGAGGCCTGTTTTTCAAAGGGCATATAAGAGTCATGACTCAAGATATAGTGGTAATGTGAAGAGAAGGACAAGAACAGTTGAGGCATAAAGACATTGACAAACAGTGACATGTCCACAGAATTAGTCAAAAGAGGATAATAATCGAATGACCAAATAAGGCGAATCAAGCTTTGAGTTTTGCATAATTCAATACACAGGATAAAGAGGAATGCCGTAGGAAATACAGTGACTGACACTCCCTGCTTTCAAGGCTAGGGGGCCACTCAACTTACTGGTTCTGCCTTTGTTTTGCCCCCACCTCTGGGCACCACCCACAGGCGCGCCCGCAGGACCAACATCATCAAATCGACCCGTAGACTCAAGCTCACGACTTCGACTTCTCGTCACTCGTCTCCGTGGTGAATTTGGAATGACGTGCTTCATTGGCGCATTTTCTCCTGTGCTCCCAGTGACCAGAGCACCCTGGGCTGCCAATGCTGAGCGCGACCGTGAACGCGCCATATCTAGTGGGGCGGAAGCTCCTCTAGGCCACTTGAGAGATCCTATTGAGGGATATGAGGATGTGAACAGTCTCTCTTTGGATGGATTTGATGAGAAATGATGTCTTTTTGACGAGACTGCTGTAGATGTGCGATGTACTCATTGAAGTGAGGATGTGGAAGGAAACGGGGCGAGTTAGACAGAATTAGGGTGTCGTAGGGTTATCTAGGGTAAGCGTCATTATGTAATCATGTCTTGATGCCTGAGGCTAAAATCCTAACCCCAACCCTAACCCTAGCGTACATTGAAATTATATGGACACCAGCTGAGATCAGGACTACGACAGGGTGTTTGAGGCCTCAATAGCACATTTAAAGGAGAGAGATAAATCGTAGCTAATTGAGGATCTCTCGAGAGCTTGCTTGGAGGGGAGGCTGCCCAAATCGCGATGAGCCACCGGTGCGCAGTGGAGAATGATCGTGTACGTCCGCCGGTCACAATTTCGAAGATGGCTTATCGATATCATGAGGCTCATCCGCTATACAATAGAGCCATAGAATCGAGATACAGAATTAACATCTGACTGGACTGTCCCACGAGGGGGCAATTGCGACGAGATAATCGATCCTGTATTCTAAGATCGAGTCTAAGACAAAGGTTAATGAACCACCCAGAAGCTAGTAAAGGGCTTCTATGAAATAAATGACTCCAAAGATCAAGAATGCCGTAGCACCACCAAGCGTCACTGGATAGAATGTTAGCTTGTGTTCAAACAGCCAGGGAAGATTAGAAGTCTACATACCAACCCGCATGCTGACTTTGCCAGCAATAGCAGCACCTCCAATGACTGCCGCAGCAGTGCAAATAGCATGGCCGGAGATGGCACCAACCGTCACCCACCAGTAGTCCTGTCCGGCAGCCATGGCAATGGTCGCGATCTGACTCCGATCGCCCCATTCCCCTAGGAAGGTCATAACAAAAGTCTGTACCCATGCAGGGCTGAGAAGAAGCGAGAAAAGATTGTTTATTCCAGTCAAGATGTCGCTCCAACGGCGACCAGGTCCTGGCGAAGATGATCGCGAGGAAGACGATGAAATACTCTCAGGGGGCGACGGGAAGCGATTGGTGGATGAGCGAGACTTGCGACGTCCACCAAAACGGCCAGCTTCCAAAGAATGAGGCGTTACGGAGGAGCGGCGCCGGCTCATGCGCAGCTGCTCTTGCTCCTTCTCCTCAAGTTCCATCTCGACTTCCTTCATTTCTTCACCGACGCCCTCATCCGGCGACATCTCACGGCCTTCCTTGAGCATCTTCAGTCCGAAGACAATGAATAGCACAGCTGCCAAAAACTTGGTGAAAGACTTGGGAATGAGTGTCGGCACTGCATGTCCCAGGATAGCCGAGAGCACCGTCATGCCAATGAGCGCAGAGAATGCCGCCGAGAAAACAAGCAAGCGCGGATGTCGCATGGCCATGAGGGCAGCCACCAGAAAAGTCTTATCGCCAATCTCGGAGACCACGATCATCGTAAAGGAGAAAAGAAGTGAGTGGAATGCCGAGCCTTCGCCCTGTTCTCCAGAATTTGTACCAGTTTTCGAGGATGCGCCATCGGCGTTGAGGCCAAGAGGATGATCGCTCACAGTCGCTGGCGATTTGGGAAGAGGGATATCGTGTGGTTTTTCTGGCAAGTCACCTGGTTTCTGCAACATTATGTCAGCTATAAACGAAAGTTGACAGACGATCAACAGATCACACTGTACCTCAAGCACGCCCAGGTTCGAACTGCCACTTGAGCCCTTTGCCTCTTTGCCTTCCTCGGTCTGCTCCGACGTCGGCAGCTTCTGCTGTTCACTATGAGGCAGAGGAGGCGCTTCCTTTGGACTATCGGGTATCTTCTCTCCGGCTAGAGTATTACCCTTCAGTTTTTCGGACACTCCACCCTCCGTGCCCCGAGTCCCCTCTTTGGGACCCGTCCGGTGCGGATCGTCCATCACGCCGTCATTCGAATGAGGGATCGGTTTCCCGTCCGGTCCCACATGTTGATGATCGGCCGGTTTCGTTTCAGGCCCCGAACCTTCCTCCGCAGTCTTGACCGTACCCGCCTTTTTGCGGTCTCGCTCAGCATTCGTTTCGACCCACGGACCAGCGTGAGGCCGACCATCTTTTCCATCGAATGGGGCGTCCAGCGTCCCTTTGGGGGTAGCCTTGGGGGCAAGTCCGTCTATATCGGGAACAATTGGATCTGGCGTCGCAAAATCGCGTGGTGCGAGACCTTGGTCCGTGGAGACTCCATTGTTCGGTGAAAGATCGGCGACAGCAGTCGAAATGGCTGGTAATAGAAATAGGACAGCTGGCGATGAAAGATAGGAAAACCGCATCTTGGATGCAGCGAAAGACTGCGGACCAGTTTCTGCAACTCGACAAAGAAAATTCGATGGAAGTATTAAAGATATATGCCCGCAATGGGTCGAGGAGGAAGCCCTGGTAAAGAACCGTTGAGAAACCGACAGCTGGTGGAATCTTGTCTGGGCACGTACCCCAGAAACGTCTTGGGATGGATGATTAAGAGAGATAAAGAGGATTAAACGAAGCAAAAGGCTCCAATGATGAGTGCTAAGAAAAGAAAACGAAGGAAAAGAAGAATTTCACAAAGTTAGGAGGAATAACAGTATATTGCTGCTTCATGGGCCAAAGCAAGGTTTCATCAGGGAACTTTTCTGGCCGCAAAAGGGGCGACTTCAACGTCACGTGCCCATCAATTCAGTTCTCACCGCAAACGTCAATATCAATACGGAGACACGACAGAAAAGATTGTTGAATGGTAAAGGTACCTGGTACTCTTATCACCATATTAATTTATTTATACACCTACCAGTCTCACCAGCTGAGTTGTGGTAGGTTCTCGTTAGCAGTCGGGGATACTCTTTATGGCATTGGTTTTCCTCATGAGTCTTTAAGCCCAGGCTTGTTATCACTGCCATGATAGAGAGGTGGCAAAGAACTCATACCATTGTGCTAAAATAAATTCTAGACATCGCTTCTTTCGGTGTTATGTATTCCAGTCATTTCATGTCTTCATCAAGAAGTACCTTCTATAGATTGAGCAGGAACCTCTACTTCCACTGGTCTCGTGCCTTGCCCTTGAGGTAGAAACTGATTACATCCTTTGCATGGCTTTTAGGAGATCCTATCAGCATCAGATAGGCTTGAGGGAATTTGATTAGGGGGAATCGGGGCTTGTCTGGCCCCCTAGGATACCCGGATTCTAGGACCCCTGGCACGGAGTACCTATCCTATCCGCTGCTTTGATAGAGCTGCAAATGTGCCTTCGAAAGTCAGATTCGTTTAAAATTGCGCTGCCCACGCCGTAACCTCACATTTGACAAGGGGAAATTTGGATATGATCGAGTGTGGAAGGAATTCTGCGAAACAGGTGGGAATGCTAGAAATTCACTGCGATGATGTCTTTGATAAGTGCTGAAGTCAATTGCCCCTTCATAGGTGATGCTAGGCCAAGGGCAACCATGGCTGGACTTCATATAAATCTAGTTATGGTTCACTTCTAGAAATCTTGAGCAACCAACATTCACTCGCGAGTTTCTCTGATTTCTAACGCACAACACTGGAGTATCTCTCTCGAAATGCTTCAATATTGACACCGTCTAATCATCCTGCATTCTCTTCTCATCTGACAAACTAAGAACATGTACTTTTTCCCGCATGCCAGTTCCCCAGCATATGAGCCTCAGAGGTTTTCAAATCGAAAGAGCCAAAGTCCTAGAAAGCAGCAAGACTTTCAGACGGAAAACGGATCAACACATACTCGGAACTCCTCCACAGGCGTATCAATATACACCATCGAGTCCAAAGAGATACCGATTTGGTTCACTGTGTTCTTTGGAAAGCCCAGTTTGCCGTCGCCCCAGCTGGACAATGCTCGATTCAATGCGAAAATTTCGGAGCGGGTATTTGAGCCTTCGAGCACACCTGCTGACAGTCCCTCCAAATCCTCTTTCAGAACAAGCGTCTCAAGTAGCATCTCCCTGCCACGGCCCGGTCTGTCTGAAGAACCATCCGTCCTCCGCACTATACTCTCCTTGTGCCGCTCTTTCGAAGGTGAAATACTCAACTGCGTGGCAGAAGGTTGTACGATCTGCGGAAAATGTCCAGCCCAATCACTAGTACATCGTCCGCTATGCGCTACACGATATGGCTATGTTGAACTATCGGATTTTGTGGAGATGCACAAGCTCGTCTCGACTGTGGCGTCTCATACAACACATATCACCAGAAGGGACGAAATCGATTGGAGTGTCGGAGATGTGATGAGCGACAGACCATACATCTGCTCACTAGCTGTCCCAATCTGTTCTCCGGAAGGAGAATGCCATCAAGCTGCGGCAAAGATGATGCAGACGTACATTGAGGGAATTAGAGACGGAAGCATCAAGCCAAAGGCTTTGGACACGTTCGAGATCCAGGAGAGGCCGGGTTTACCACAACGCCGGAGTGTGACATCGCAATACAGCTTTCGAGTAAATACCACAAGAAACGAAGATTATTCTGCAAGCACGCTTTGCCTGAGAAGCCCGTCAATAGAGGCTCTTGGGACTCTTAGTGCTCGGCCCTTCAAGATTGGAGCTACCGTGTTTGTTGGAAGACCAAGTCTGCAGCTCAGCGGCGCCCCGCGACGTGGTCAGCTAAGCTGTTCAGTTTTCTCCTCTACTTGGTCAGGCCCTGCTCTTCCTGGAGTGGCCAAGAACGAGGCAGACGATGCCGTTTTCTATTGTCGTATTGCAGCTTCCTATGAGCATCACATTCTTGGCTCTGCGAATTATCGCTGCGCAGTATGTTCTGAACTCGTACCAGCAAAGAGCTTGGTCCATCGGCCGCTACTCTTTGTCCAAACTCATAGATCCGGTTTGCAGAGTGAGTCTGAGCGGCGGCTGATCGTGAAACTCTCTCAATTTGTCCAAGGCCGATGGTCGTACCCGGAAATGAACGCTGTCATGGGAGGTACAACCGACGCTCATGTTTTCGACCTGGCCGTACCAATCTGTGAAGGCAAGACGCTTTGCGAAGAAGTGGCTCGAACCTCTGCCCGCGAGTTTGTCAAGCTACTATTACCTTCCGACATGGCACTTATTTTCCCTGGTCTGGACCCAGACACTGATCTCTCCCTGATGAAAGATGAGGTCGTCAGTGAATTTGTGTACAAGCCCGAAGACGCAGAGGTCCTAGTCGACAGAATCGGATGTGATCTGCTAAAAATGACCGGTGAAGAGCGAGACGAGGATCCAATGGACTGTTCCTTGACCGTTACCAAGCTCCGACGATGGTACGAACTCGCTTTTGAGGAAGAAGAGGCCAAACGCCAGTACCTCAAAGATATCGGGTACAAGAGAACCGGCGACTGCAGCGAATCAGACAGCGACGACAGCGAAATCGATGACGATCTCATCTGGGTCTACGCCCTGAATGACCCTGATGAGTCTTCCTCGCGGAGAAGCAGCGCCCGGTTGTCTAATCGCGAACTGTCAAGGCAAGACTTGGCTATTAGGAAGCTTGAAAAACTTGCCTTGTTTCAGCCAACACTCAGTTTCGGCTTTTGGAAGGTTTGGGAAACTATGAAGTCTTTGGATCATACGCATGATTAGAAGTGCTCGCTGGCGATGAAGCTTCTGGAAACAATGACTGCACAAATTGACGCTTTCCTCGTATCATCGTATGTTTGGACGAAAATAGTTGAATACGATCGGGACAGACCTAATCTGGACTATGTAGACCATGCGCAACAGATCGAGGTGCAAGAGAATTTTTGCAGCAGACAAAGAACAAAGACTACGTATTTACCCCTGTCGTCTCTACGAGCGGGTCGCTCAATGAAGCTATTTTGGGCAACCGGGGCTGAATTCTGAAATGCTCAATGCCCAGCAATGGCGTCGGTTCTTCGAAGCCCGAGGACCCTAATCATCCACACATCTTTGTACGAGCTTGGTAAAGGGTCTCAATCATCGAAGGACTCTGGACTCGAGAAAAGAAACCAAACTACAGCATAACAAATGGCTAAGAAAATTAATGCACCATTCTGGATATTCGATTTCCCTGAAATGGACACCAACCAGATTCCCTCATTAGAGGTGCGCATCTGCTTCGAAAGCGAATCTGTTGCTCAAGAGCCTGCATTATGTCGCTTCTTTCAGAGGCTAAACTGAGATAGCCCCGAGTTGGGGGCGGTTAGTGGTCGATTGCATCGCAAGGCTGACAGCCATAAACCATCTTGGGGCTGATGCGCATTTGATCACTTCAGACTTCACGAATCCATGGAGATTTTTGCACCACAGCAAGTTTCAGATGCTAAATCTGGATTCGAGTCGGAGACTTGGGCATATTTGGAGACAATCCGACAATGGTGGGCGTTGTATCAAAGGGCGAGGCGCAGCTCGAGATTCCAGTTCGAGACGCCGCAGATACTACTCGTACACTCCGTATCCCAGGTTCCTTTTGTTGGTGTTGTAAAGATTGATATAAATGTATATCCTTGGACTCCATAAATATGATGACGACGAAGTTCGAGCGTGGTGTGTGTCTTGCTGGCTTTACTGGATCTATAGCAGATCTTACAGAATGTTATCGACTAGAAACCTGCTATACTCGATAGCAGCCTTTGCTGCTCTATTTGACAGCATCCACTCTCTGCTGGATACCAGTTCCTCATCCACCGTCGCTGTGTACTGGGGTATTTGAGCTTCAGGCTAGCCATAGGCCACAAGATGCTGACTGTCCTGCTCAGGTCAAAATTCGGGAAACACAGGCCAACAACGCCTGAGTTATTACTGTGGTAGTATGTGATGCATGAATTCGTTCATGGGCAATAATAAAGGCTGACTCAATCTCAGATCCGCATATCGATGTATGATGGTGACATGATCGATCTGAGATCCGTGAGGAAGCTTACTTGCAGCAGGTGTTTCAACTGTCGTTTGTCACGAGAGTATCTGGTGCAGCTGGTCTGCCAGAGATGGACTTCGCCAACCAGGAAAGCCAGTGTAGTATTTATCCTGGCACGAACCTCCTAAACTGTCCTCAGATCGGGTGAGTCACGTACTGCGAAGTGTCGCTGATGGTTAGGCTAACATAACACCATCACTTTCAGAGAAGATATCAAAAAATGCCAGCAACAAGGGAAAACCATCCTCATTTCTATCGGCGGAGCAACATCAACAGAACGAGGTTTCGCTTCGGAGGCAGCAGCCATCGAAGCCGCCAACAAGATGTGGCAGATCTTCGGACCCGTGAACGCAGGTAACACCGCATACCGACCATTCGGTGATGCAGTCATCGACGGCTTTGACTTCGATTTCGAGACCAGCGTCACAAATATGGTGCCCTTTGCCAATCAGCTGCGCCGCTTGATGGATGCTTCTGCGGACAGAAAATACTACCTGACTGCTGCGCCGCAGTGCGTGTTCCCCGACGTAGCAGATCAGGAGATGCTGGATGGAGCCGTTGCGTTCGATGCAATCTGGGTGCAGTTCTACAACAATTTCTGCGGCGTGAATGCATTCTCCTTCGGCTCAATGCAGCAGGGTGCTTTCAACTTTGATCTATGGGACGCGTGGGCTAAGAGCCAGTCCAAGAACAAGCAGGTTAAGGTCTTCATCGGTCTGCCGGGAAATGCAGCTTCGGCTGGAAGTGGTTATGTTACTGCTGAGCAGCTCAGAGAGGTTGTCGCTTGGAGCAAGGCATTCTCAAGCTTCGGGGGCATTATGGTATGGGACGCTAGTGCGATGTATGCGAACCAAGGGTATCTTGAATCGGTGAAGACGACGCTCACCAGGTAAGACGGATGATCTTGCATTTCGGCAGCATGTATATATCAATAGATGTTTCTTTGACGGCGGGCTCACATATAAATTCGATGTGTATACCTATCTTTTTGTTGATGCTTTAGTTTTCAACTTTGCTTCATCTCGCTCTGGCCGACAACAATGAATGTGATGACGACAGTTTGTTTCAGCACTTCGGGCGTTGCTGATGATAAAACTACGGATCATCTGCCTACTGACCTCGACGATGGTAAGGTTTCCAGATGACCAAGACAACCAATCACTTCACGAAGGGAGACTCACTGTTTTGCCTTACTGAGCCCTCCACGCGAAACCCGCTGCAGGATGACGACAGCGTACAGCACCAACTGTCGAGTCAGCTTGATGAACGTCGGTCTTTACACTATACTCGTGATGCTTCTCGCACGTCGCTGTATGCTTTGTTTGGGATCTTGCAGAACAAGCAGGTGCACAACTCGCATTGGCAACGTGTATGATGCACTTTCCTGCGCAGTTAAGAAAAGAGGATTGACAAGCCGACTGAGGAATTCGTCATCGAAGTCAGAATATAAAATAGGGGCATAAACTGTGTTTCTTCTCTTCCCCTCATAGCTGTGCCTCAAGGTTGGTAGTAATAATGCGGCGGTCATATGCTTTAAGTTTCGGGCTGAAACGGTGTGCCGCCATCTACCAATATCAACGCACTATTATTTTAGACTGGTTGAATATGGATACAGCCCATTTTCAGGGTGAAAGACAAGATAGATAGTAAGTACTAATGTCTTTGAGTGAGATGCAAGCAAGTAACAAAGGTCATCTGTGGTGTCATGTGCATGCTGATCCGCGCAAATCAGTGGCATCAATCCTGTCCATTCCATGGAGTCCGTGGGCTGCAATGTGATGGCCTTATCAAGCAAACAGTCACATCCGAAGGCGAATCCTCAAGGCCAAGAAACAAAGAGCATTTAGCTCATTACACCGACGTTACACCAAGGAATTCTGCCGTCTTATCATTGGGCATGCTCTCCACCCAAGTTAGAGCGTAAAATAGGTAGATCATAGATGTAGTACCCCGCGGTTCCCGCAGTGCAGCTGCTCACCGCCTGGAAATAACCAATACCATACGCCAATCTGACCATGAGACTGGCTCCATCATCCGCCTCAGATTTGCTACATCCTGAACGCCCATCATCCACATCTTCTTCCGTGTGATGGTCTGGGCATCAAGCTCCGGTCCCTCTTTGTCCTCGAGCTTCACCGACTCCCAACGTCCACCTGTCATCTCCGTGGACTCCCATATTAATCGCTCTTCTTTCTCATCCCTCTTCTTCTCTTTCTCATTCTTTAAATTTCCTCATCCATTCCTCCCCGTCAGCTATGCCTGTCAGCAACGTTGCTCAGGTGCTTCCTCTGGTTCTCTGCTCGTAGGCCGTGATCTGACCCCTAGCTTTAGGGAAGGTAGTCTTGCATTCGCATTCTCGAGTCACAACAGAACAAGTGATTCAAGAGCTATAGAGGCTGAGTCTAGACTGTTGTTATCGCAGCATTTCTTGCATTCTAGTGGCGTTATACCACTATCTTGATTTGCCGTGCAACAGTCGGCTCCTTGCAGCAACAGGTGCTTATAACCTTGGGCCTTGTCCCGCGCCGTTTTGGTTTTCTCCCATTTCAAGCAAAGATCAAAATTAACCATGTGTTTTTGCATCAGAGTTTCCAGGTCCAAACCCAAGGAGCCCGAGGTGGTCTCCATCACCCGTCAGTTGAAGATGGCTGAGGCTGAGACATCCTCCGTCAATCTCCCAAGCGAACATTCGGATGACTCTGCTTCACAGCGCGTGCCAGCGCAAGGCTTGTGGAACAGGTTCTTCAGACGGAGAGGGTCGGGAAAGTCGGAGTCCGAGGAGTCGGAGTCCGTCAATAACCCGAACTACCGTTCGAAGGCAACTTTGGGGATTCTCAGCGACAAGGAGACCGATGAAGTACCAGGTACGTTTCACACACGTACCTGTGCCAATGTTGCAGTGGTAATTCTGACCTTCTCTAGGAACGGTACTGTTGCTCTCTTCAAATCGCAACGAACCATTGGGACTGCGGCACCAGCAGCGGCGGACGTCCGCATCTTCTCTACCTAATGCTTATCCTTCATCTCGTTCTTCGTCGCGCGCGACGGCTCCCCAGCCGAAGAAGACGGCAGACGGTCAGATTGTCCTCAATCCGCAGCCAGATGATTCCGTCAATGACCCACTGAACTGGCCCATGTGGCGGCGCGATGCTGCGTTGCTCTCCCTGGGCTTTTACTGCTTAATGGGAGGAGGAATGACGCCCATTCTTGCTGCGGGCTTCAACCAAGTCTCTGAGAGCTACGGTGTAAGCACTCAAAAAGTGGCCTACACCACCGGATTGTACATGTTGGGACTCGGAGTCGGGTCGGTCATCATGTCCCCAACCGCAATTCTATGGGGAAAGCGACCGGTGTATCTCCTAGGGGCTACACTCTTTATCCTTTCTGCTGTGTGGTGTGCCTTGTCTCCAAATTACCCCAGTTTGGTGCTTGCTCGAATTTTCCAAGGGATCGCCGTCAGTACTGTCGAGTGTCTTCCCTCGGCTACTATTGCCGAAATCTACTTCCTGCATGAGCGCGCATATCGTGTTGGCATCTACACCCTTCTCCTCCTTGGCGGCAAAAACCTGGTGCCTCTGGTCAGCGCTGCTATTATCGGCAATCTGGGATGGCGTTGGGTGTTCTGGATCGTCGCAATTATTGTTGGTGCTAGTCTCGTCCTCCTCTTCTTTTTCGTTCCCGAAACGTTCTGGGATCGTACACCGCGTCCTCGTCGCTCTCACAAGCGTCCTCATATGATACGGAGCGTATCAGACCTGGTGACACACGGTCTCCGGGGTCGACAACTTCACCACCACCGTCTAGAGGACCCAGTCTTGGATGGAGATGCCATCTCACCTGCTCCCAGAAAGACCAACAGGGGTCACGTCGGCTTTGCGGAGGATCAAGTCCAGGAAGGAAAACCGGTAGATGAGAAGGACAGAAACCGTGATGACCAGCCATCCGAAACACCAGCCGAGGACAACGACCAGCTGGGCTCGCCGGATCCTGAGAAGCATGACGCATCCCTACAGATACCAGCTCCAGCAGTCACTCGCGAGTCGGGCTCTCAGCGCGATCTCGAAGCCGCTAGGCAAGCTGCTGTGTCACCGGCGCGCAGCGAATCCGTAGATCCAGCTGGACCACTGCCTCCAGCGCAGGTGTATACCAACCGACTACGGGAGAAACCTCAAATCCCCTTCACGCATTATCTGCGGATTTGGAACGGACGAATTTCGCATGATAAATGGTTACGAGTCGCCGTCCGGCCGTTCATTCTGTTCGCCTACCCGGCCGTTCTCTGGTCAGCAGTAGTGTATTCGCTGTCGGTCGGATGGCTTATCGTGCTGTCCGAGTCTGTGGCGCATCTCTACCAGGGCTCGCAGAATTACAACTTCACACCTTTGCAGACAGGCCTCGTTTATATTTCCCCGTTTGTTGGCGGACTTTTGGGAACGGCAGTGGCCGGCAAAGTATCCGATGTGATTGTGCGGTTTATGTCTTGGCGCAATGGAGGCGTTTACGAGCCAGAGTTCCGTCTTGTGATGGCCATCCCGATTGCTCTATCAACTTCGGCAGGATTGATGGCATTTGGATGGAGCTCGGAGGTGAAAGACTCCTGGATCGTGCCTACGATCTTCTTCGGTCTGGTTTCGTTTGGATGCTGTCTCGGCAGCACCACATCGATCACTTTCTGCGTGGATAGCTACCGGCAGTATGCCGGTGAGGCCTTGGTGACTCTGAATTGGAGCAAGAGTAGGTCTTGGGATCTCTCCTCCGCAAGTAGGGCAAGAAGGCTAACAAGTTTCGATTTTAGACGTATTCCACGGTCTAATTTTTTCGTTGTTTATTGTCGACTGGCTTGAGGCAGACGGCGCTCGGACGGTATTCCTCGCACTGGGGGGCATTCAACTCGGATGTTTGTTGTTCTCGATACCCATGTACATCTACGGCAAGCGGGCTCGGATGTGGACGGTACGGAAGTGTTTGATGGAGAAGTTTTGAGTGATGACAGTTATCAATCGGCATGAGAAATGCTTACATGTACACGTTATGATTGACATATGGAAATGAATTTAGACGAAGACCAACATCGTGAAATGAGAGTCATTCAGTTATCCCTTGCAGAGGGTCCTCTGCAAGACTGCAACAGCAGATGATCTGCGTCGATTCGCCACATGTGTCAGCCACTGATCTGCCGTCCCACTAGTCCCATCGAATTCCAGAACGCCACGCTGTGGCTAATGTCTTTAACAAGAGTCGTTGGATGAAACGGCCAACAATCAGAAGGAGAAGAGGCGACTCCATGGATCATAGTGACACCAGACTGATGCTAGCGGCTGCTGCAGATCATCTTAGTGTGGGATTCTTATATCATCATGCATATTCGAAATCCATAACCCCTGGTATCATTGATAATAATAATAAAGTTCAAACAGTGGGCAGTGCAATTGAAAAGGATGCCTTGGTGCCTAGATAGCCTGCTGACTCAGCGTCCGCCGTCCCCCATCAACCGATCACACTGAATACGCAGCTCGAGCTCTGATTGGCGGCTTTGCAAACCGGCTGGCCCTGTGCTACCGGAAGAGGATTAGCTCATGCCAGAAAACAGGGAACCAAGGTGGGATTGAATCAACGGTAATACAAGGTACCGAGGTTAATCTCATTGCCTTAACATGCTGTGGAGAGGACTGGAACTGTGAGTGTGCTGGTTCTGGATGATAAGTATTACCTTATCATGAAGACTAGCGGATTACGATTGAGGGACTGGCTTCTACCCTAGTAATAGTCCCTTGCACAAGTATCACAACGTTCATCTCCGTAAGTGGCCATGTCATGTTATGTATGATGATGGTGACGATGACGATGACGATGATGATGATTAATAACTCCAGCTCCCGTTGATTCTCCCTTTGAGTGATCACTGCCCGATTCAGCAACGGATATCAAAGGTGGAGTAGAGTTGGTTCCAACATTTGCGAGAATAATAATCTGAATGTGTTGCGAATCATCAAGCGAGATGGTTAAATGTGTCGCGTTCGCTGTGTACCGTTTATTATTCCTCCTTCTAGGAGCTGTTGCTGTCATACAGATCCATCTACCATCTCCCTATCAACTGCTTCTTCTTTTTCCCTTTTTAAAGCTCTGAATCGAAAGTTTGAAGCAGGCAGTTCTCCGGACCCTTAATCGTCTTCCCCTCCCGCAAACCGGCACAGGCCAGAAATTGCAGTGGTCCATCATTTCTTCTCCCGCGGTCGATTCATCACAACCAACCATTCTATCTCTCCTATTCTTGCCTCTTTTTGTTGCCCTCGTATTCTCTTTATATCCATCCAGCGACTTGGGCCAAGAATGGATCTCTACTGGTGAAAATACTCCGTAAGTTCCATCAGGCTAATTTTCCTTTTTCGATCCCTCCTATGAAATACCTCGATCTCCGATCCGACACCACCACTGAGTTATGGAATCAACATCCCGAGCTCGAGGGGATGACCATAACGCCGGTCGCAGAGCTCGCGAGCTCTATCGCTACTTTCGACCTGAACGTCTCTCTCAACCAGACTCCATCAGTGTGAGTAACGCTTCGATCGCCGATGGTTCTCTCCCGCCAGCCACGGCGCAAGCCCTCGATGGCTCGATTCATGCGCCCTCTGCATCCTCAGCCTCACCGCCGTCCCCACCACAATTGTCACCACCGCTGGTGACAACTGGGGAAGCTTCTCCGTTCTCTCCAGCCGTCTCTGAAACTTTGGTTCTAGGCCAGAACAATGCCACTTTGACCTCCTTTGCTCAGCTTGCAGCGCTGCGTCTAAATGTGGAGCGTGTGATTATCAGGTACGGGACTTTCACTAACTACAGCCTGGACGGTCATAGCTGATATAGTTTTTTCTGCTCTACAGTGTATCCGACCGAGATTCGCAGTTCATTCTCGCTCAAGCAAGTCAGTCCCCCGTCGGTAGTGATGTCCGTTCTTATGAAGCTGGGAAAAATGGGGTCTGGGAAGGTTGCTCCACCCTGCCGTCTAGTGCTTGGGGGATGTGCGAGGTAGGTCTTTCCTCGCTGAATTATCTAGCTCATCGCGCCGACTGAATTCTGTCCGCTATAGGCTACGGTAGCACTTCCGCCGTCTTCGAGGGATCCCAAAGAATACAGTTTTTTTGTGGTCAATGACCTGCAGGATAGCGAGCCGTATAGAAACCTCTCTTTCGTCAACGACGGACCTCGTTTTCGCTTTTACGCCGGAACGCCTCTAACGACAGAAACGAATATCAACATTGGGTGTTTTTTTGCGCTGGACACCAAACCTCGCGATGGCTTTTCCGACCTTGAGAAGGAGACACTTGGCTCGTTGGGAATGCTCATCATGGAGTACTTACAGGTGAGCCGGCAGGCCTCCGAAGGAAGACGTGCGGCTCGATTGTCTCGGGGTCTGAGTTATTTCGTAGAGGGCAGTTCTAGCTTTGTCGACCCTCATCCCTCGTGTTCAGGGAGTTCTGCCCCTACGCTTAGCACCCCCGCGTCGTCCGGTGTGAGGGCCAACCACCTCTCGGTCGGGTCCTCTCAGAGTTTCGAACTTCCCTCCAAACGCTCTCACAGCGTCGATGCGCGCTCCATCAGCTCGGTATCCGACTCAAAAGCTGACAATGGCGATCAAAACAATTCTTCCGGCCCGGACACGCCACTCCCAGATTGGTGGGCGGGAAGTAGAAGGAAGGGGCTGACGTTGGATGAATCGCATAGCGGCTCCTGGGCGTTTCGAAGAGCCGCCAATCTTCTCCGCGAAAGTCTTGAGTTGGATGCCGACGGGGGTGTTATCTTTTTGGAGGTCAATAACAGCCACATGCTTGATATCGAGACCGGGAGTGATTGCTCAGGAGACAACGGTACCCCGGTTCCTGTATTGGCGGTCTCCACCCAAGACGAACCCTTTGCCCCAGGGCCGGGCTCGACAGTGCTATACCCTGCCGCAAATCTCGACAGCGGGTTTTTGCACCAGCTGCTGCGTCGGTACACCAAGGGCAAGCTTTGGTCCTTTCATCGAGATGGAATTCTTTCTAGCTCCGATGACGAGCAGCCAAACAGAAATCGCTCAAGAAGCACGAAACCCACCGAAATGCCGCGGGGCAGTGGCAAGAAGTGGAAACAATCGGAAAACGCCATGTTGAATTTGTTCTTTCCGAACGCGACTCAGGTCATGTTCGTTCCTTTGTGGAACGCGGCAAATTCCCAGTGGTTCGCAGGTTGCTTTTGCTGGAACACAATAGAGACACGTGTCTTCAGCCCTTCTGTCGAGCTGAGTTCGGTTCTGGGCTTCGGATCATCCATCATGGCAGAGTGCAACCGGGTCCAGTCCCTGATCTCCGATCGGCAGAAGGGTGATTTCATCGGAAGTATCTCGTAAGTATTGGAGGGGGAGAGATCATGCTTGGTTCATCGACCGGTCATTGACATACTTGGGTTTAGGCATGAACTTCGCAGTCCACTCCACGGCATTTTGGCGGCCACAGAGTTTTTGCACGGCACAAACCTCGACGAATTCCAATTGTCTCTGCTGGAAACGATCAACGCGTGCGGTCGGACACTGTTGGATACTATGAATCAAGTCCTAGACTTCAGCAAGATTGTGTCCCTCGAGAGGACCTGGCGTCAGCTCAAGAGGAGCAAGACTTCGCCGTCGGAATTGACGAACATGGACAAGATCTCTGCGCATCTGGACACATTTATCACCACGGATCTTGCCATTCTGGCTGAGGAGGTGGTGGAAGGCGTATGTTTAGGCCACACATATGGGCAGAAGTCGATGGCTACCTTGGATCAGTCTATGCTTTTACCGAACTCGGCTGCCACGCTCCCGCTTCCGCGGCGAAAGCCCAAGTCGGATACTTCAGCGGAGGTGGAAGTGGTGATGGATATCGCACAGAACAATTGGGTGTATCGGACTCAACCGGGTGCGTTGCGGCGCATTATCATGAACGTCTTTGGCAATGCCATGAAGTACACCGAGTCGGGCAGGGTTTCGGTGCTCTTAGAGGTCACCGAGGCGTCCGAGAGTCGGTCACGCCGACATGGTGTGGAGGAACTTGTGACCCTGACCGTTTCTGATACGGGCAAAGGCATCTCGGAAGAGTTCTTACGAGGACGATTGTTCACACCATTTGCTCAGGAGGATACTCTGGCGGTGGGAACTGGGCTGGGGCTATCGATCGTTCGGAGTCTCGTCAAAGCGTTAAACGGGACTATCAACATCCACAGCCGGCCTGGCGAAGGCACGACTGTCAAGGTATCTCTTCCTTTGACGCGCCCGGAACCGGGGGATAGTCTCGAGGACAGCTTGACTTCACAGTCGACTCCGTCGAGGCAGGACGACACCATGAACGAGGCCTTCTCGCTCCGCGACAGCCATGGCGGCAGACGTGTCGCCATTCTCGGTATTGAGCCTGCTGATGCCCTCGAACATCGCTTCTGGGCTATCATTGCACGCTACCTGACGGACTGGTACGGCCTGGAGCTGGTTTCCTTGGCGTCACAAGAGTCCATCGATGTGCTTTTGGCAGACGAGGAGAGTTTGTCGAGCATCCCAAAGGAGGCTGTCTCTGGCATTCTCCCTTCGCTCTTGATCCTCTGCAACAAGTCGGTTGATTACAGCGCTATCCGGGCCGAGTGGTCACCGATTGCCGCTTTTGTCGACATCATCCGTCGCCCCTGCGGCCCGCACAAGCTTGCCCGTTGCATCAGGAAATGTCTTGACAATGGACCACGTGGGAACATCTCGTTGGGGCCGCGCATTGAACTTCCCGAACGACCCCAGATGCGTAGTGGCATCCCTTCGCCGGGTGCGGACTTGCCAGACGCAGACCCACTTGCTTCGACCTGTGATCTCACTTTCGCCACCTCAATCAGACCTAGGGCCCTTTCCTCTGAGGATTCGGGTCAGTCACAAAGTTCGTCCGACATTGCCGACGTACCTCACGGGAGCGATACATCCATATCGCCACTGCCCACGCCGCCGGAGACGGCGTGCAAGCGCGTCGAGCGCAAGGCGCGCATCCTCGTGGTGGACGATAATTCGATCAATCTGAATTTGATGTTGACGTTCATGAAGAAACAAGATCTGGAGGTTCTGGATTCGGCAGAGAATGGCAAATTGGCCGTGGACGCGGTGGAAAGGTTGCAGCAGGGTTACGACCTTATTTTCATGGGTAGGCCAATCTACCACAGATTAAACTGACTTACTGACGAAAGAAAGATATGTCCATGCCGGTTATGAACGGGTTCGAAGCCACGCGCGCCATCCGGGCACTGGAGAGAGAGCGCGACGGGTGTGGGCCCGCCACGATCATTGCGCTGACGGGACTGAGCAGTTCGCGTGACGAGTCGGAGGCACTGACGTCCGGGGTGGACTTGTTTTTGACGAAACCGGTGTCGTTCAAAGAAGTCTCGAGACTGTTGGATGAATGGGCGGAACGGGGACTGCGGGATAGAAAGTCCCCATCTCCGTCGCCCTCTGCTTCATGACGTTATTGAATGCTTTGCTTACGGTCTCTGATTTCGGTTGATCGCATGACTATCTCGGCTATGGCTTGTCGCGACCTTCATCTTTTTTTTTTTTTTTTTTTGATTTGATGTGGGATTACCCCTCTGTATACGGTTAGAGGTTGATACACGTGATACCCCCTGTATGTTTACTTATTTCATGAAATCAAATGAATAAAAACAAATGAATAAATAATTGAAGAAGGAATTGCATTCAATGCAGCATTAGCCACAACAGTTACTTTCTCAACTATTCATTAGCTAGTCGGTCTACACCAATTGCACCCAGGCTAGGGTATATATAACATGCCATTTCAGGTATGGAGTGCAATCCTGTCGACAGGTCGTAGTTAGTACCGCTCAATCAGCCACGTCCTTCGCTCCTCGTCGCCCATGGCAGCCAGCTTCTTGGCCTCGGCCCGCTTGACAATCACATAATTGCGGACCAGGAACGGACCGAGCAGTTCCCGAAGCGCAAGATCAGACTCGAGCGCGTCGAGACTCTGCGCGAGGGTTTTGGGAAGCGGAGTCGTGATGCCGAGGTCCTGTCGTTGCGCGTCGGTGAGGGTAGCCGCGTCGCCTGCTTCTCGTTTAGTTATCACATTATACGCATTTTCCCAAGCAGGAGCAGAGGAAGGAAGGGAACGTACAGAGACAGTCCTTCACGGTGAGAGGGGTGTTGTTCTCGAGGCCTAGGTACCCGGCTGCGAGAAACGCCGCGATGGCGAGGTACATGTTTGCCAGGCCATCGAGGGACTTGAGCTCCCAGTGGCCGCGGTCGATCTTCCGGACGGGGGTCTCGCGGTTCTGCGTGCCCCATGCGACCCACTCGCTGCCTGCCCAGAGGCCGGATTTCACGCGCTCGTAGCTGGTGTCTTGGGAGAGGGTGCAGGCCAGCAGGGCCGGGTAGTGCGCCAGCACGCCGGCGAGGAAGGCGTCCTCGTTTGAAGGGGGGGAGATGGAGACGTGCGCGTGGGAGGCTGTGCCTGCGGCGTGGGGGAGGGG